ATAATCATCTGCTGGTGACAATCTAATCATCTTCACAGTAACTAATTGTGATGTCACAAACAAATGATTATGATTTCAGGTGGTGAACAAACAGCAGGAGCAGATGTACTCAGAAGAACAAAGACTGTAAAGTCATGCATTAATCTCTAGTAATAAAATGTTAGGCAAGAAAAACAAAGAGCGTGTCCTTTACAGAGAGGTAGGATTGGTCTGAGAGTACTTTTTAAATTCTTATTAGTTTTTCAGTACTTACTTTGTGACTCCCAAAATTGCTGGAAATAGATAAGGGAAAACTATACTATGGAAAATTGAGGGTGGGGAACATATAAGAACAGTTAGGGTCATTTTTTTCCTTGTTAGAATTATAATATAGAACACTGTTACTTTTTCCTTTTATTTTTATATTTTGGTTCTTCGTAGCTCATCTACAGCTTCTCCTAGAACAGGTACCATACAGTATTTGCAGTTACCCCATCCAGAAACACAAAACCAAAACACGTTCCCAAGAAAATGCACTTTGCCTTGGGATTGTTCATTTGTTTCATGTTTTGTTTTTGCTGATAACTGCTTAAGTCAAATCCATGGAGAAAATCAAGCTTTCTGTTGACAGTAAACAGCTCCTGTATGAGCTGCAAATGCTTGTGCTCTGCCCACCGTGTCTCAAAGTCTCTTCTAGAAGCATCAGGGCAAAAAACTCACCCAACTTTCTTAGAAAACTGTCTACGATATCCCAAAGCAGGAAATGAATAGCTTCTTGTTTCAGCTTTACGACTGTGAATTGAAGAGGAAAGGTAAAGAAGTAAACCTGTGGGAAGAAGCTTTGCCAGCGAGTAGGAGGAACAGAAGTGAAATTTGCCGCAGTGATAGCTGCAAAAGTAACATGCGGGAGGGGAACAGGAGAAAGTAATTTCCAAGGCTATTTAATAGGGAACACTAAAAATGCAGTGAGTGGGTACGTAGGAGGGTATTCCTCAGCAAAACCAAACTACATAATAAGGATACAACAAAATTTCTTCTTCAACTGTACTAAAAGCTATAACAATTAGGATTTTTGGTTTTGTTGCACTAAAGTATACAACTTCACTTTACTATTCCAGGTTTATTTGACACAGTTTCGGATGGAAACACAGTGCCTTATGTACACAAAGAAAGAGGATCTGCCTGCAAAAGGAAACTGATGCACAACACGCTGTCCTAGCAGGACACAATAGTTTTCCTGAAATAAAATTACTAAAAATCTGAATAAGAGCTGCCAAATGGTAGATGTAGCAATCTGAGAGTCTTGGATTTCCAAGACCACTGGAAGTTTGGTTTTAGGGTAACAACAAATGCAAACTGTATGTTTCTCTTATAAGGAAGGATGTAGAAGGGAAGAAGTATATGGTTGGACTTGATGATCTTTGAGGTCTCTTCCAACCGTAATGATTCTATTCAATGATTCTAAGCTGCTTCATTTGCTCTCTTTAAAACCTCCTACAATAAGGATGACACTGCATGAGTAGATTCACCTACCAGCAACTGTTGCTCTTAAATATAAACTAGCACATTGATACCCAAAAAGACGTGACATTTTTGATCTCAAACAGTGGAACTTGTTTGGAACTGCCTTAAAAAAACCCTGCAGTTCACAGGGGCATGAGAGATCACACATGCAAGTGATTTCATTTATTCAAAAGGAGAAGACACTTCAAATTTCCTCAGTTCTCCTTGACGACAAAGCTCAAGTTATCTTGGACTCCAGAGCTTAGGGAAAAAAAAGTGCAGAGAAACCTCTTAATAATACTCATTCTTCTTCAGGATTTTTTTATGCATTCTCTGTGTGGGAAACTAACACCTAATATTCTACCAGAAGCAGAGCAGGGCAAGTGCTCATAGGTAAACATGTACTAGCAGATCATCCCCCTACTACCTATTAGCACAGCACTTCAACAAGTAAACACGTCTATGGAAAAGTGGTGAGCAATATCAGGTGACACTGCAGAGATCTTCTCCAAATGTGGCAAACCCCTGACCTCAGTCGCATCCTGAAAAGCAGGCCTCTTCATAGAGCCATTCAGTAGGAAGGGATCAACGGAACCTGCCGGTTACCTAAATAACATACAAAAACCTTCTGTACGTTCCCTATGTGGGAATCTGTGGTTCCTTCCTCTATATCACAAATAAATGGTGTGATATTTATATGTTGAAAGATCTACAGTATGGAAAGTACTACAGCGGTTTTCTATATAAAAATACACTTTAATAGAGTGTCAACTGATACAGCAGATTCATAATTCTATCAGAAAGGCCATTTTAAATCCAAAATACCAAGGGAGGTTTCAATGAGAAACTCAAAAGGAAGACCTATTAGCAATTCATTCAGCCAGGGGTGATATCCCATTAACACATTTAGAGAAGAAAAATGCATTTCTAGGTCTTCCATGAATCCTGGATGAGACTGTAAGGTGAAGAGAGACTGGTCTGTCCTCTACATAACTGTAACATATTCATTTTCCTCTTATGTCTTTATATGGAAATCACAGTTAAGCTGTAAATTTTAAAGAAAATATTCTAGAAGAGAAAGGCCCTTTATAAGGTGAAGAGTTAAAAAAATCAGTAAAAAAATATATGCCTGTTGATAATATTTTGGGTCCAAACCCTTCCTATTTTGCAAAAGGATAGCACAGTTCCTCTGAAATAAAAAAATTATACACTTGAATCAGTTAATTATTATTCATGTTACCTCTAGATTGGAACCCTCAAAAAAGGAGTTAAGGGATTAAGCACAGCGGTCTCTGAACAGCACCATCAGAAAGAAGTGCTCTATGTCTATTGACATGATCGCTACATCTCCTTTGATTTCCAATTTACTTGGAGATCAGATGAACGGAAATGAAAGCATGTAGAAATGCCTTTTGTGCACTAGAAAAGCAACCCAGAACGAAAACCTGTTTCTGTACCATGGCCTGTGATGGCTGCAAAAAGGTCTGTGAGTAAGTCAATCTGTGAAAAGTAAGTTCTTGGGTCAGCACAGGTTTAAAATATAATTTTTGTTGATCTTGTCTCCTGTTGAGCGAGTTTGCCTTTGTGTTCTCCTTTTAGATTTGGATTTACAGGTATAACTGCAAAAGTTTTCTTGCCAGATGAAGCCTGGGAAAGGGATTGTTTTTTCTTGTTGGTATAGTAGATGGTTCTGATGTCATCTATAAATATCTTTGCTAAAAGACACTGCAAGGATACGAGAGAAAATCTAGAGGTCTTATTCTGCTACCCCAAATTCCAATATGTTAACATCTGAAGATGTTAACATTTGAAGATGCTTCACAGGCCATGTCCCTAAGAGATTTTGACAATGCAAACAGAAATCTTCTAGAAGTATTGATGGGGATTGATGATAGGGCTGGAAGGAAGCAACTAATAAGAAGTCTTAGATCCTGTAGAATCCTTCCTTTCAGGGAAACACACTGGTATGTGCTGAATCCAAGATCACTTTAAATACTGGCAAACTTTTGTGTAAGTTGAAGCACAAATTATTCCGCAGGTCTAGTGACTGGGAAGACTGCATATATACTGGAACACTACTGAACCCCTCAAAACCTGCTTTTAGGACCATGTCCTTCAGATGTATATAGGCAAAAACCAGAAGGTAGCTCATGTGTATCTGTCTCTAGTACAATCCTTAGTTGAGGGAGATAATGTTTGGGACTCTTAAGAAGTTCAAACTCAACACAGTTCTAGAGAAGGATCCAGGGCTCACAGAAAAGTGAAGAAAGCGCTATTTATATTATCTTTACCACTCTAAACAGCAAAAATCTAGTTATAAAGTCACAAAGGTCTGTCCTATTCATTACCTGTTGCAGTGAAACTGAAGTCGGTCTACACCAACAGGGTCTCCTGGGTCTTTGTGTCTATAGGGTCAGCTTAAGGAAGAGAGAATCTACCAACAGCAGAACCCAATCAGAGTCAGGGATGTTTTGAGAAATTTTCAGCCCATACAAGTCCATTGGACTTGTATGGGATATATCTTAGTGTGTTAACTGGCTTATGTCATCGTGAAGCCACTCTCTACTATCTTCAAAAAGTCACAGATATCAGGAGGTCTCCAATGCCTGGAGAAAGGCATCATCGTCACCACCAAAAAAGGCAGGCTAGTTAGCCTTACTTTAGCCCCTGGAAAAATCATGCAGTACGTCTTCTTAAAGCCATTTGTGGGCACACAAAAGAGAAAAAAGCCATTGGGAACAATCAGCATGAATTTACCAAGGATAAAAAACAGTCTCAAAAACCTGATGGCCTTTTATGATAAAATGACTGGATTTATGAATGAAGGGAGCAGAGGATGTCATCTACCTTGGCTTTAGCAAGGCTTTTGACATCATGTCTTCCACAGCATCCTTGTATCCAAGCTGTGATGTTAGAGTCTAGTTAGATGAATTACTAGATGATGAAAATATGTTTGGATGATCAGGCTTAGAGGACAGTGGTTTGCTTTGGGTGACCCAATAGCAGCCTTCCAATACCTAAGAAGAGGTTGCCAAAAAGATGGAGTCAGGCACATTACTGAGGTATGTAGCAGAAGAAGAGGAGATGATAGTCATAAACAAACAGGAGATGTTCTGACTGGGATAAAAGGAAAAAAAATTCAATGTGAAGATAATTAAGTATTGGAACACACTGCCCAGAGAAGCTATGGAGTATCCGTCCTTGGAGAACTGGAAAAAAGACACAAGCAACCTTGTTTGAACTCTGTATTCTGACCTTGCTTTGAGCAGGCAGTTTAGATGACCTCTTAAAATCCCTTACAACCTGAAGGATTCAATGATTCAATGAGTAAATAAAAATCTCCTTGCTCCTGTACTCATTCATAACTACAATCACACAGAGGACACTCAAGAGTTAATTCATCTAATTGCAACAGAAACCCTAAAATATTTACAAAAAGCATTTCAATTGTCTCAACCCAAATCCTACAGAGACAAAGGGAAATAAAAATAAATATAAATTTAGAAAGCAACACTTACTGTTACTTGTTGGCTCTGGAAACCCAACATTCTGGCCGTTCCAACTCTTGTTTTCTCCAAGCTGAAACAGGTAGAAAAAGACAAATAAGTAAAGAGCAAACTATTCCTTAAACGGAACATTATGTTTATAAATGTAGTTGAAAGATTCTAAAAAGGATGACTTGGGATTGCCAAATCTGCTCACAAAATTTTGCTAACACATCTTAATTTTTGTCTAAAATAGGTTATTTGAGGAATGTATCCTTCATGAACAAACATTAACAACTATTGCCTAACACTGAAATACAAATGTTTCCCCAAGGATTAGGCTCAACTCAGTATGTTACCAAATCAGACTTAAAATCAAATGTTTTAAGAAGCTCTCAACAGAAAACATACACGGACAACAGAGAAATTACATTCTAAACCAAGAAGATGCTAATATCTGCCTATGAAAGAATGCATAAACACCAAAAAGTACTTTGGGTGTAATTTTAAAATATTTACTGGCTAGGAACCCATTTAGTTACTGAAATGGAAGCAAAAAAATATTGCAATTTTCCATTATTTTAATATATAGACTTTTTTCAGGAAGCTAACCGTCTTCAATTTAATTTTATTATGTTTAACTCCAAGTAATACTCTGACACAGAAAAGGGGAGCAATTAACACAGTAGTTCAAAATGAGGCCATTCTTGAAGCCTACATAGTAAATAAGATGGCAGCGTTCTAGATTTACATGTAAATGTGGATAAACAAGTCCAAGCTTACAGCTCTATGAATGTGAAACAAATGATCCTTTTCAGAGTTCACTGGGATTTGATACGTAAAGAGAAAAACTTGCAGCAAAGCAGTCTATGTGCCATGACAAAGTTGTAATCATTTGCTCTGGAAGATGGGGTTGATTGGAAAGCAGAAGAGATGTGAAGGAGGATCAGCCAGCTGAAATCTGCCTCTGCATCTCGGAGGTTGCGTTAAGGTTGTTTAGATTACTATGACGTTGTAATGCAGACTACTAGATAATATGAGTTCCTTGGGAAAGAGGAGGGAAGAGCGCACTATGCAAAGCAGCAATTCCAATGATTCTTTCCCTGCCTTTCCTCATCGTGTACATCCCAATGTGCTCACAGCCTGGGTAGCATGCAATAAAAACGGGATATATTTAGTGGAAAGGGCCAATAGGCATTAGAGCTGGTTCTCAAATTGGTCATCCACCTCCATGCACTTTAATTTCACATAACTCCTTTTATTCATGTTCTTCAAATGAATAAGCAATACAAAATCTATAAATACATTTGCATTTACTGCTGTCTGTTACAACCGCATGGGTTTGTGATGAATCTTTAACATGCATCTGTAACATCATAGGAAAATCAGCACGAACATGCTGCTACAATATGAGAAGAACACTTCTGACTCTCCTCTTTCCTCTTCTTACTGTTAACTTGATCATGATGGGGAATTTAAGAAGAATTCATCTATCACTAAGTTATCCTTAGTGCTGCTGTCTCACATGAATGCAATCTACTCTGGTTTTCTTCTCTCTAAAAGAATAAAAGTGGCAAGAACAAACGAAAAGATGGAAACATTAAAAAATGAAGACATTGCAACTCTCCATTCTCATCCATAGAACTAAAATTCTGACAGCTGCAAAAGGTCTCCCAGGGTACTTTCAGATTGCTCTCCTCAGCGCTCTGCATAATCGTTACTGAATTTTTCCAGGAATCGGATGACCTCTGAAAAGAGCAGAACCTTTACTTTTTCACATTACCTGGATTACCTGTTTACCTGTGTTGCCATCAGCACCGTGCGTGGCTCTTGTAACACTCTTAGGTCTTCATTAAAACAATGACCAGAGTCACGTTTTATGCACCGGGGTTAAGGAAAAAACGTTGAATTTGGGTTTGCTTTTTTTTTAATGGGAGGAGGAAGGGGATGAAAGGACTTGGGGAAGGAGTG